AAAAAAAAAAAAAAAGAAAAGAAGCTCCCCTCCTATTCCCAATTGCAATTCCAGAAAAGTATCCTGATTGTATCTCACAGGTTCTGATTGGATCATTTTCTATTCCAGCATGAATCTTTGTGTCCATGAAGAAGAACTATATTGATTGGCTAAGGCCTGAGTTACAGGCCAATCACAGTCAGTAGGACTGAGCCAGCAACGCATCAGTTGCTGGCTGAGGACAGTGATTTTCCCAAGGGTACTTAGAGTGCCCAGATTGAAATAAGGCAAAGAGGTACAAAGGAAGGCATAAGAGAATTAGCAAAGTGGAGGCCATGCACTGGTTTCAGCAGAAGTATGATGGGGTCATCCTTCCTGGAAAATAAATTTCCATTTCTAGCCAAAAGACCAATAAAAAGTTTTTATTTAAATATATATATTTTTAAATAAAGGGAGCCACAAGATTCCTTTATACTCTGCTTTTGGAAGAGATGATGGCAGTGGTCAAAAAGGAGAGAGACAAAATAGCTATAGGATCAGGGATGCATTTCTTGCTGGAAGCTGTAAAAAACAAAACAAAAGTTAGAGATATTTTAGGTAGCAGAGTTTTTTGTTTTTGTTAAACTACCTAATTTCTCCATTGTTCCACTTACTTAGAAAATTCCTAATAAAAACATTTGAAGTTAGCTAGTTAAAACACATTCTTTTAGATTTCTTCGAACATAGCCTGCTTATTTTGCAGATGATGAAACAGACACTAAGAAGTTAAAAGATGTACCCCCAGGTAACGCAGCCAGTTGGTGGTAGAGATCTGATTTTCCATCTTTATCATCACCAGCAGCATAATCACTGTTACTGTTATCGCCATCTTAATTATCATCATCTTCATCACCATTATGAAAGTTAACACAGGCTGAATGCTGATTTTGTGCAAGGGTCTATTTCAAGCCCTTGCTATACATTAAGTTACTTAATCCTCAGAACACACCTATGAGATACTTATTTTCATTATCCTTGGTTTTTAGTTGGTGTAAAAAACTAGTCTAAATAAAGACTAGAATCTCTTTTCAGCCAGCCTTCACTGGTTGTTTAGAGTAGAAAAGGTGTTTCTGGAAGGAAGAGAGTCAACTCTAATTGCCTTAGTATTTGCTTATATTGTTTGATAGGATAACCAGAGGAGGAAGAAATACACTTCTACTATTTTCACACAATATATAAAATTTTTTTGAGTTTCTTGAAATTTGTATTTGGGAATGTGTGTGTGTGTTTATGCAAGTAGAAATTCCAAGGCAGAAAAGAAAGGAATTACACACACAAACAGTAATTGTTGTCTTTTCTGTCTTGGAATTTCTCTCCCTCTCTCTCTCTCTCTCTTTCTCTCCCTTTAAATACTGGGAAACGGTGGGATTGGAAATCCTTGTGATCTTTAGCCTCAATGAAGAGGAAAAAAAAATTGTTTGAGAACCATTCTAATGATTGACCTGCTAAAGTGGTAATAATATTTCCTAGGTCTCTGTAGGGATTCATATAATTCTAACACAAATTTTGACAAAAGTTTAGAGAGATGTATGCTCTTAATTTCCCTTGCCAACTCTTATTGGTGAAAAATGAGGTATTGAAAATTACTATATCTACTCCAGCCTGGGTGACAGAGTGAGATGTCCATCTTAAAAAAAAAAAAAGGAATTACTGTGCATGTGTATGTGTGTGCGTGTGTGTGTGTGTGTGTGTGTGTACACACATTAGTCAGGCGTGAGAGAAGAAAAACCAATAGAGTTGGTGTCCTCAGCAAAGTGAAGCGTAAGTATCAAGGAAGATGGAGTGATTCACCATAATGAATATGGTTGATAGGTCAAGTACAATGAGGACTGAGAATTGACATTTACATTACAGGAAGCTCACCATATAATCTCTTGAATCAGACTCTCTAGGTTAAAACTGGCTCTGCCACTTACTGTGTCTGTTAGGCTCAGGACACCAACTCTATTGGTTTTTCCTCTCTCACTGGCCATTCCTTCTCCATCTTTTTTTTTTTCCCCCACAGGTTTTGCTCTGTTGCCCAGGGTGGAGTGTAGCAGTGCGATCTCTGCTCACTGCAACATCAGCCTCCCTGGCTCAAGTGATTCTTTCACCTCAGCCTCCCAAGTAGCTGGGACTACAGACGCACACCACCACACCTGACTAATTTTGTGTATTTTTGGTAAAGACAGGGTTTCACCATTTTGCCCAGGCTGTCCATGAACTCCTGAGCTCAAGCAATTTACCTACCTCGGCCTCCCAGAGTGCTGGGATTACGTGTATGAACCATCACACCTGGCATCTACATCTTCTTTGCACTTGACCTTTTAAAATGGGAGTGTCCTGAGGTTTGGTCCTTGGACATTCCTTTCATTTATTTACACACTTCTGTGGGGAGCTCGACCAGTCTCATAACTTTACCACCCATAATCCACTGACCCCAAATTTATCTTTCCATCCTGGGTCACTCCTTGGATTTCCAGACTCATACATCCAGCTGTCCACTCAACATCTCTGCTTGGGTTGCTATTGCACAGCTCAGATATAACATGTTGAATACCAGACTCCTGCTCTTAAATCTCCTCCATCCCCAGGCTTCTCCATATCAGTGAGTGCCACCTCCATCCTCTCAGTTACTCTAGCCAAACCTTGGAGTCATCCTTCACTCTTCTTTTTCCCTCACTCTTTACTTCCGGTGAGGCATGGCCTCCTCTTGGCTCTAAATCAGGTCACACCTGACTTACTGCCACTACTCTGAAACCTTCATCTCTCATCTGAATGATTGAAATGGCCCCTATCTGGTTTCTCTGCTTATCTCATGACAGCTTATCCTCTGCTGGGCTGCTAGACCAATTTTGACACAACCTTCTATGTTCTCTGCCCAAAACCTCTCAGTAGTAGCCTATCTAAGAGGAAAATTCAAAGTCCTTACAACTGCCTTCAAGGTCCTATATGATCAAATCTACATCATCTTCTGTCTTCATTTTCAGTTACTTTTCTCTCATTTATTCCTATTTACTGGCGTTTTTGCTGTTGCTTCTTACTTGGGCATTTGCACTTGCTGTTCTCTTTCCTTGTATGCTCTTTCCTCAGATATTTATGGGACTGGCTGTCTCATCTCCTTTCAACCTTGGCTCAAATGACAGCAACTGAGTGAAGTTTTCCCTGATCACCCAGCTTCATATTGTCACTCCCTCCCATGGTATTCCCTATCTTCTTACTCTGCTTTATTTTTCACCTTAGTACCTACCACCTACCAACTATAACATAATTTCCTTATTTATTTTGTTTGTTTTGGCTTCACATCAATAGAATGTAAATCCCCAAGGGCAGGGATTTTCACCTGTTTTCTTCCCTCCACCTAGGATAGTGCCTAGCACATAGCAAGTGCTCAATAAATACTGATTTGTTGAATGAATGAATGATAGCTGCTATTGCGATGATGCCCAAATAAGAGACAAATATATAGACACTACTGTCTTGTAATCATACTCATCCTTCAAAAAAATTCATAAGCCCTCTTTATAATAATTAGGATGTCAAAAATAGCTTTCTTTTTATTTTATTCTCTCAGGTTAAAGTAACTAACTCTCTTGATACATTTTCTCTATCTTTCTTATGGCCATTATCATTTCTACCTGTATTATTATTATTACATGGACCATATATTTAGGAAAATAAATGGAAAACAGCTGCACATTAAATTGATTACAAACTAATAAAATTTTTATTTGAGGATGCCTCACATTATTTTTACATTTGTAGTTGTCTTTAGTTTTCTATTTGACTGTCTCTTCAAAGTTTTTAATTCTTTCTTTACCTTTTTACAGTGTTTTTAAAATTGGAGAATATGTTCCAGTAATGGGCTGTGACATCAGCTTAGGAAGTCATAGGCATCACTGTTTAATAATGTACTAAAACAGGTTAGAATAGAACATACTAGCATTACACTGCCTGTGAAAAGGATAGCTGTTGTATTTGTATGAATGTGTGTGTGTCTGCATACTTATGTGTGTGTGAACTGACTTATAATGTAAACAGTCATAGTCAAGAAGCTTAAAACTAATGGTAGTTTCTCAGTAACATTTGCCGTAGAATGAATGAATCCCCTGAAACCAGCCTATGGGGAATATTGTCCTGGAATTCTTATTAGAAAACATGGGGAAGGATCCTATTTTTGTCATTTGTAAACTGTGAACAACTTTACAAAAATCACTTATGCTCCCTAAATCTCAACATTCACATCAGTACAGTGGAGTCAATAACCTGACTTACAGGGCAGGTGTAGAAACTAAACAGATAATGGATGTAAAAGTATTTTGTAAACTAAACTTCTAAACAAATATCATTTTATCAGTGTATTATAACCTGATTTTGGTCATCTCTGCCTTAGGGTATAAAGTCTGGAAGAAATACATAATGATTATAACTCTTATTTCATGAAGTCTGTATCTGAAGTTTATCATACTGTTCAGAAGTAAATAGTCTCTTAAAAAAAAAGAAAAAGGTAAAACTGGTGTGCACTATATATCAAGCTGATCTAGTGTTTGAAGCAAATGCCATCTCTAGCCTCTTTCTGTCAAAATGCAAGGAGCAAGTGTTAATATTTTAGAATATTAACTAGCAAAAACTTAGCACCAAATGGAAAGCGTTATCACTTCTGCCTCTTCCTTTGCTTCTCTTCTTCCTGTCAATTTCACTGAAGCACACGTTTGTGCCATTAAACCATTATCCCACTTCCATGTGCAGAGTACTTTCCCAGAGTTTCTCAGTTGTGTTTGAGAAGCTGCACAGACTCCAATGCTATCACAACATTCCCACAAGGTGAGTATCATTTTCATTTTATAAATGAGAAAACTGGCTCAGAGGTTAAGTCATTTGTACAAGGCCACTTAGCTACTAACATATATCCAAATCTCTCTGGCTCCAAAGTTTATTCACTTTCCACCATGCCATGTGGTCTCCCAGATTCATTCAATGACTCATTCTTCCATCCATTTATCGGAGACAGACACTCTACTTCAAGGTCATTGTGATGTCACAAATAGGGTAAACTAATTTTAGATAATTAAAGCCCAGAGTAAAAAAAAAAAAAAAAACAGGAAGAAATAGAAAGCTAATAAAATAAATAATAATAATAGTATCTTAAAAGTTTTGGGTACTTACATTTGTCAGATACTGTTGTAGGAGATTTTACATGCATACATTCATTTTCTCTCCACCAGAATCTTACAGGTTTTTAAAAAGTGAAGTTTACAAGTAAAATCAGGCTGACTACAAACAATTGCCTATATTTTTCTAGAAACATGTTAAGAATTTTGATTATGTGAAACATTTTAACAAATAAATCCCTGTTCTTTGTGAATTCAATGATATAAAACAGAGCATGTATTTGTGTGTCTACAGATTTTTGGCATAGGTTATTTTGCTGAAAGAAGCAAGATTTAAGGACAAATAACTAACAATCTGTTAACATATTTTGAATCTTCCAATGGGTATGAAAACACCTGTTTCCATGGTAACCAGTATAGGTCACGTGAAGG